CTCCCCTTCCTCCTGCCACCCAGGAGCTGGGGAGCACAGGTCACAGGTGGGGGCAGGAGGAAAAACAGAAAACAAGCCCTGCTCCTTCAGAGAACACGAGGATTTAGTGCAAACACTTAAGAGCCCAAGGGAGCAGTTTACTAAGCTTGTCTTGTCAGGGGGATAAAATACACTCAGAGATGCCTTTTATGTTTTCTTCTTGTCTGATCACTGTGGCTAGGACTTCCAGTACTATGTTGAATAAAAGTGGTGAACCCTGTCTTGTTCCTGTTCTTAGGGAAAATCATTTTAGTTTTTGCCCATTGATGGGCAAATTTATGGACCTCCCTACCCCCGCCCATATAATGTTGGCTTAGGTTTGTCATATATGGCCTTTATTATGTTGAGGTATGATTCCTCTATTCCAGGGATGGGGAACATCCGGCCTGCAGGCAGTAGAAGGCCCAATAAGTCATTTGGTCTGGCCCTGCCAAGGCATTAGGGGTGAGTTAATTAAATGTTTGACCAAATATTGCAGGCTAATTTTTAAGTTGATAATTTTGTAATGCCCGTGAATTATGTTATAAATATCCAAATGGCCCTTGGCAGAGAAAAGTTTCCCCACCCCCAACTCTATTCCCACTCTGCTGAGAGTTTTTATCAAAAATTGGTGTTTGATTTTGTCGAATGCTTTTCCTGCATCTACTGATATGATCATGTGATTTTCCAAATTGGAAAGAAGGGTGTAAAATTGTGATTATTCACAGATGACATGATATTGTACATAGAAAACTCTAAAGATTCCACACAAAAAACTACTAAACTACTAGATTTAATAAATGAATTTGGCAATGTAGCAGGATACAAATTAACACCCAGAAATCAATGGCATTTTTATACACCAATAATAAACTCTCAGAAAGAGAAACTAAAAAAAAACAATCCCATTTACCATTGTAATAAAAAAAAATTAAGATACTTAGGAATAAACTTAACCAAGGAGGTAAAAGACCTGTACTCTGAAAACTACAGGACATTGAAAAAGAAGATAGAAGAAGACATAAACAAGTGGAAGAATATACCATGTTCATGGATTGATAGAATTAACATCATTAAAATGTCCATACTACCCAAGGCAATCTATAGATTCAATGCAATCCCTATCAAAATACCAACGGCATATTTCACAGATCTAGAACAAATACTCCAAAAATGTATATGGAACGAAATAGCCACAGCAATCTTGAGAAAGAAAAACAAAGTTGGAGGGATCACAATACCAGATATCAAGCTATACTACAAAGACACTGTAATCAAAACAGCCTGATACTGGCACAAGAACAGGCATATACACCAATGGAACAGAACTGAGAACCCAAAAATTGACCTAAACCCTTATGCTCAATTAATATTTGACAAAGGAGGGAAGAGCATGCAATGGAGTAAAAACAATCTCTTTAATAATTGGTGTTGGAAAAATTAGACAGATACATGCAAAAAAGTGAAAACAGACCACCAACTTACACCATACACAAGAATAAACTCAAAATGGATAAAAGACTTAAATGTAAGTAATAAAACCATAAAAATCCTAAAAGAAAACATAGGTGGCAAAATCTCAGAATTTTCATCGATATATCAAATAGCAGAATTTTTATCAATATATCGTGTAGGGCAAGAGAAACAAGGAAAAAAATAAACAAATGGGACTACATCAAAATAAAAAGCTTCTGCACAGCAAAAGAAACCAGCATCAAAATGAAAAGAGAACCCACTGCATGGGAGAACATATTTGCGAATGACATATCTGATAAGGGATTAATTTCCAAAATATGTAAAGTACTCATACAACTCAACAACATGAAGACAAACAACCCAATTTAAAAATGGGCAGAAGACCTGAATAGACACTGCTCCAAAGGGGACATACAAATGGCCCAGAAACATGAAAAAATGCTCAAGGTCACTGATCATCAGAGAGATGCAAATTAAAATGATAATGAGGTATAACCTCACACCAGCCAGAATAGCTACCATTAATAAATCAATAAACAAGTGCTGGCGAGGAGAAAAAGGAACTGTGGTACTCTGCTGGTGGGAATGCAGACTGGTACAACCACTATGGAAAACAGTGTGATTTCCTCAAAAAAATTAAAAATGGAACTGCCATCTAAGAAGCCAAAAACACCAATCAGAAAGAATATATGCACCCCTATGTTTATAGCAACGTTATTTTCAATAGCTAAGATCTGTAAACAGTATCAGTAGGTGAATGGATTAAAGAACTGTGGTACATTTACACTATAGAATATTATGCAGCAGTAAAAAAAGATTTATTTTTGAAAAATATTTTTATTGATTTCAGAGAGGAAGGGAGAGGAAGAGAGAGATAGAAACATCAATGATGATGGAATCATTGACTGGCTGCCTTCTGCATGCCCCCTACTGGGGACTGAGCCCACAATGATCGGAATCGAACCAGGGACCCTTCAGTCTGCAGGCTGATGCTCTATCCACTAAGCCAAAGCAGCTAGGGCAAAAAGAAGGATTTCTTAGTCTTTGAAACAGCATGGAGGGACCTGGAGAGTATTATGCTAAGTGAAATAAGCCAGTCAGAGAAAGACAAGTATCATATGATCTTGTTTATTAGGTTCCATCTAATGCACAAAATAAACTGACAACAAAAAAGATCCAGAGACATTGAAGCATGAAACAGACTGATGATTCTCAGAGGGAAGGGGGTGGGGGGAGAGAAGAGACTAACCAATGAACTTATATGCATAGCCCCTGGACAGACAATAGTCAGGGAAAGGCCTGGGGAGGGAGCAGGAGCAGGGTAGAGAGGGGCAATGGAGGGGGGTGGGGAAAGGGGACATCTGTAAACTTTCAACATTAAAGATAAATTAAAGCCCTAACCAGTTTGGCTCAGTGGATAGAGCATCGGCCTGCGGACTGAAGGGTCCCAGGTTCGATTCCGGTCAAGGGCATGTACCTTGGTTGCAGGCATATCCCCAGTAGGAGGTGTGCAGGAGGCAGCTGATTGATGTTTCTCTCTCATCAATGTTTCTAGCTCTCTATCCCTCTCCCTTTCTCTCTGTAAAAAATCAATAAAATATATATATTTTTAAAAAAAGATAAATTAAAAATAAAAAAAATAAAACCAAAACAGTGCCTCATTCTGCCACTTCCTTTAGGGAAATGGCATAGCAGTTACAAGTTCCTTGATAACAATAAATTGTTTTCATATTTATCTTAATTCTCTCTTTATTACTCTTGAATAAACATAAAGAACTGATTTCTTAGATCCTCTGTACAAATACACCACCATTAAATCCTCTGAAAGGTCAAATTTCACATAGCTAGAGATGTGGGAATTTAATAAAGAGAATACATTTTTTATTTTTTACAAATAAAAAGGTCAATCCTAAGGGCTCCATAAGGCCTTGTTTATCAGCTACATGAAGCTCTTCACGAAAGCTCATTTCAAGTGGGGAGCCCACAAGGGGAGCTCACCTCCCATCAGGGATTCTGAGGGAAGAAGCCTATATTGTCAAAGTCAGGACAAGGAGCCAGCACACAGCTCAGGTGGGGCCCCAAAAGGAGGATGTGGGCTGGAGAGAACAGCACGAATCTACATTTCTGCTAGTTTTGTGAAAATAAGTATACACACCAAGAACCAAACATAGGAGAGGGAGGAGGAGGAGAGACTGAGCAGACCCTGTTACCCTGGCAACTGCAAAGTATTACAGTCTGCAGAGGAGACTCTAGTTGGGCCATTTACACATACCTTAGAGAGAAACATCGATCAGCTGCCTCCTGCACAATCCCTATTGGGGATGTGCCCGCAACCAAGGTACATGCCCTTGACCGGAATCGAACCTGGGACCTTTCAGTCCGCAGGCCGACGCTCTATCCACTGAGCCAAACCGGTTTCGGCATACACATACCTTTTTAAAAGCCAAAGAATTTCCCCCCTCATTTTACGATAAAGAGTTTCATAAAAATGGAGACTGATTTACAAATATCACTTGAAAAAAAACTGGGCACTTAAGATTCATCTTTCCTTTTGGTTACAATTTTGCTTTGAATTATGGTCCTTAAAATTTCTTTGAAGGTGACCCTTTAAGAGTGTCCTATCATGTAGTATGGCAAGAAAACGAATGTCCTTCAGCAAATTAGTTGTTTTTGTTAACATGATACGTACACAGACAGGTTACTTCATTGGCAACTATAATTTGAACCTCCAACAAAATATATGGCTTTAATTTCTAGGGTTTGAACACAAGACATGACCAGAGCAATAGGTAGAAGTAAATACAAGAAATTAGGAATAAATATAAGGAAAGAATATAACATTTAAAAGAAAATAATTAAAAATAAATATAAAATGCAAAACGAAAGTTGTTTGTATATAAGATAAATCTAAATTTATTTTTCAAAATTATCATTATGAAAACAAATATACTACATATAGTCAAGGTCACCTTAATCAAATGACATCATAGGATAAGATAAAAATAAATCAGCCATGTCAAGACTCTCTATTTTAAACACTGTGTTATGGCATCTCACTTAGTAAAAAGATAATATAGCCTTCAATAATCCTTTAACCATATCCAATATAAACGAGTAAAATAAAAACTACTTTAATACCTATTTAAATTAAGACCATCAAGAAACTGGCTGAGATACTAAATACTGTAATTCTAAGGAAAAAAAATTACAATCATTTTCTGTAACTTACAAGGCAAATTGAACACTATGAAAAAATGTCTTTCACATCACATTTGAATTTAAATAATACTCACCAGGAAAGAAACAGATTCTGTGACAGAGGCTGAGCCATAACAACAAAAGGGCGTGATATCTAAGTGTGGCCCTTCCCAGTCTATTTTTAGAGGTTAAAGACGCCAGCCTTGAATAGTTCGATAATAATGGTTGTGGTTACAACTCAGCATGTAAGACAGTTCGAGAGTAAACCAGCTCTTTTCATGCTGTCATCTAGTTTGCTGTCTTTTCCCTTTTAAATTAATCCTGAGACCTTGCCCACAGAACACAGGGGATCTGAAGAATCGTTTGTTTCCTCCTGTTTACTAGCTACCTTGGAACATGCAGAACTAAAATTAAGTCATAAATTAAAACTAGGTTAAAATCAGGTGATAAATTAAATCTTTGAAAATGTTCTTCATTAAAAAAGTTTTTAAAAACTATCTTGCTTATCTGCAACCTTACTCGGAAAATTACTTTAATTGGGAACAGGACACACATTGCGGAGGAAAAAGCACTTGGGTTCACCGAAGTATCCTGGAGATGTGTCCTTAACAGACTTCCCTGTGAGGAAGTAACAATTCCTATGTCTATCAAGAGTATAGGGTTTTAAGAAGTTTATATATAAGTAATGATAAATGTGTATGTGCCAACACAATTCCTATCTATGTATATGTTAACATGTTTCTATAAACATATTTTATACATGTATATACACAATAGACGCTCATACACATATCCCCCAACCACACAGACCCTTCAGTGTGATGAGACTTGCTTTCTTGAAATTACCACCTTTTCCACACTCAACCTTTCTATTCCACTCCCATAACTCAAACTTATAGTACATCAGACTCTAAAGGTTTCATTTCAATTTTCAATAAAAAAACTAGGCAAACCAAATTATATCAAGAAACAAAAGCATATTTAGGGCTAACATATTACCCTATACACTTCAAAAAAAAAACAACCAAAAATGTATTGTAAGACACTATGAAAATTTAACACTCGGTTTTAATATTTTCTTAGAAAAGGAGAGGAAGTCCCTAGCTTAGAGAATTGAGTATAAGAGATCTAAACTGGCCTTCATGTCCATTTGCTTGGGATCAAAGGTTAGGTTAGAGACTCAAGAAAAGCAAATTGGACCCAATCCCCCTTCTCCTGAATCTACAAAATAGATGGCAATTAGAAATCATAGAAACATATAGTTCTTCAAGGTTATTATCTGAGTTCTTAGAAAAAGGAAGCTCTAGTGCTGGCCCTTGTTTACAGAAGGAAATCCCAGCTCAAAGGTGGAATGGGAGGGGGCAGGCACTCAGCCCGGACTGCTGAGTCCTGGTACCCGTCATCGCTAGTCCGCAGCAGGGCACAGCTGTTGGGACTGTTGTGATTGCTCTTTACGACGCACAGACATTTTAGGCCAAACAAACCTGGCCATCCACATCCTCCAGCCCCCTCTCATGCTCCATCACAAGTTCTCTTTCAGCAGGCCGAGCTTCCGCAGGGCCTCCCGGCGAGCTTCCTCAGTGGAGCCTCGACCAGCAAACTGGACGGTGATGCCTTGGGGTCTGAACCCCACGGCCCTGGGCAGCGAGCCTGATCGCTTCCTAGCATCCTGGCTGCAGTCCGGCTGCCGGTGCTCATACAAGCTCTTGCTGGCGTTCTGGCGTGCAAGTTTATTGGTAAGAGCCGGGTCCGGACGGAAAGTGACAGTTTTCCCAGTAGAGAAAAAGGCACCGGGCTCGCTCTTTAGGACATCATGGATGTTCTGGAAGCCATTCTCCAGTGGTGGGGTCTGCTCTGTCTGCACGCCTCTGGACTGCTGACTGCTGGTCTGCCCTCCTGCCTGCGTGGACACAGCTTCCTGGATGGGGCCTGGCTTGCTCTGGCCACACGTCCCCGGCTCTGGAGAGACGCTTCGCCTCTGCTCAGGGAGATCACCCTTTTGGGCCCGATCTTCCGTTTCTCCCATGGAGAAGAAAGAGACTCCATTAATGTTGGCCAGGACCCGGGCTTTCCGCTCCTGCACGTTGACCGCGGCCTTGGAGATGGTCTTGTTGAACTCCTTCCCGGCGCTGTTGGTCACACTGATGTTGCTCGGGAAGCGGTGGATCTTGGGCGCAGGCTGTGCCGTATGTCTGTGCCACAACAAGTGGTCTCCATTTCGAGGGGCCACGGAAGTCAGTGTCCTCCATTCCCCAGGCCTGCCCTCCTTGGAGGGGGAGGTGGGTGAAAGTGCTTCATTTCCTGCCAACTTCTCAGAAATCTTCTGGGCGATAACAAGCGGAGTAGGAACTGAACGGGGCAGTTTGGGGTGCTCCGCAGGAGGAGAAGAAGAGAGCTGCTCTTTCCTGGGCTGGGCTGGCGCTGTGGGGACAGGCAGGGAGGGTGGCCGAGGAAGGGCCTCTGGAACGGTGCACCCTGGCGGGGGAGAAGCCTCCACATCCTGTGCCCCGCATTCCAGGACAGGAATGTCTTCCTTTCCAGCAGGTCCAGCCCCTGAGAAGTAGGCAGAATCCTCATAAGTTTATGTAACTTTATGTAAAAATAAACACATTACATCTCCCCCTGAAACGCAAAGGGTCTCAAAGGGACATAATACCAACAGTACCTCCTGTAAACTGAACTCCTCTATCCCTGTCCCCTGGACTAACAAGAGAGAACAGAATACATGGTTCTCATAACCACAGGATGAGAAGAATGAACCAGTGATGGTGAAAGACTGCCAAGGCAGAAATGGTCAGTACCTGGGAAGTATACCGTAAAAGCAAGCTCCTGAGGACCCATCCGCCTGAGGCATTCATAGGAAGAAACAGTAACTTGCCTTAGCAGGGATTTTTACAAAGGGGAAATGGAGGCTGGGAGGTGATGTGGCACATCAACAACTCCATCGCTTTCCTCCATGAAATAGAAATGTTTCCCGACAGCCCCAGGTAGAGCTTAATATGCCAGTCTTGGAGCCTTGACTAGATCCTGAACATACATTGATCACAGATCACCTAATACTTTTCTGGACTTGGGTTTATACACCGTCTCCAGCTGCAAAACTGTAGGCCGCCTTATTTACCTGTGTACTGCAGAGTCTCACACAATGACTGCCAAAGGGGAGGCACTTAAAATTGTTATGAAAATGTCATGTTAGGGAACTGATGGGCAAGGTGGCTTCCTTTCAAAATGTGTTTTCCTTGGTGCCAACCTATGATATGACATTTTTAAAGGAACAGCTGGTTCAAATTTATTTTAGAAACTATACTTCAAAGAAGTGTGATAAAAATGGGGAATTCATATTAAGTCTCTTCTTTGAAGAGATGGCTGCAAACTAAGCTCCATCTTTGGAATCTATAACCGTAGGACAGTGATGGCGAACCTATGACACGCGTGTCAGAGGTGACACGCGAACTCATTTTTTTGGTTGATTTTCCTTTGTTAAATGGCATTTAAATATATAAAATAAATATAAAAAATATAAATCTTTGTTTTACTATGGTTGCAAATATCAAAAAATTTCTATATGTGACACGGCACCAGAGTTAAGTTAGGGTTTTTCAAAATGCTGACACGCCGAGCTCAAAAGGTTCACCATCACTGCCGTAGTATGTAAAATTTTGTGTAACACACAGCCCTACTTACAAATAAAAAAAGGAAAAAATATTTATAGAGGCTCATGACAAATGGCAGTATTTTGTAGGTAGCTAAGCAAAATTATTTTCTCTTCTATCTTTTTCCTCGTTACTAATTCTTATCCCCTTGACCACATTTATTTCCAATATTTTTTCCAATTAGGAAGGAAAATGGAAGAAAATTTTCTCCTTGTGCCTCTGGTTCTATCACAGGACCCTTTCGATGCCACCCTGAGTTAGGCAAGATACAAAGAGGACGGTGAACTGAATTTTTCTTCTGATCATTTCCTATTTTCCTGAACCAGCTGACTTTTCGGTTTAAATACTCCCCCCTTGGCAACCATGCTATAATTGTAGGGATATAATCTTGCACAAAAATTGAGATCAAACTTCAAGGGCTAAAATACAAGTACCTCCTATGTTTTCTTTCTATAATGAATTGTTACCTGGAAGCCATTTTCAATTTTCTTTATATATATAAAGTTTATCTGTATGACAATTAGTTTCATCCTTAACTCTAGCCCTTTTGGAATTCCCCTTCATGTGTTGTCATCCTAATATGCTAAGAAAACATCTACTTAGCTGGGCAAACTATGAAGGTGATGCTTCTAACCTACAAAAATCTGTTAAGTCCCAACAGCTCCACACGGGCAGACACAGAAAGCAGTGCCTGTGTCATGCAAAACACTAACAAAGCAAGCCAGAGTCTGGGGACTGGCGTTTCACGCCTCACCTGCTGCTTCAGTCACATCCGGGAGGCGCTCAGGTTCCCCAGCTGCATATACTGGCTGCACTAAGTCAATGACATCTTCTGGTTCCAAGTGGCTGGGAGTGCTCCCTTCCAGAGACTTTGGGGGCTGGCAGTGTACCCCACTGTCACACAGGACTTGCTCCTCAAAGTCGTCCTCCAGGGAATCAATAGTCTCTTCAAAAAACAGGATGACATCCTTTTCCTCATGTGTGAGGTACTTCAGGCTCTCATCATCCTATAGAATAGGTGTGGGGATTGGGAATACAAGAGAAAACAAACAGTGGTTTCAGTGAGGGGCAAAACCAGGACCAAGTCTAGATCAATACAGAGCCCAGGGCAGGATTCACAGCACTTTACCAGTAACATTTCCCACGTGGGAAGAGTCTGCCACTCAGATGAGCTCACTGACAAACCTGTGCCGCTATGTCCCTCACCCTTTTACCTACATGAAAAAGAAGGCTGCCAAAAAGGTACAGAAATAAAAGATCTTAGACCCTATGATTAGCTCTAGTCCTGTGGTTCCTAGTGAATTAATGACAAGAAAACAATTCTTCGCCATTGCCTCCTTGGGAACGCTGTTTGCACTTACTGCTTTCAGACACACTTGCTTTTCCCTAATAGCAACGTGGGTAATCTCTGGTTAAAGATGGTGAACTCACATATTTATGTCTTCCTCTAAAAACCTTACGAAAACAATAATGGGATTTATTTCTTTAAGAAAGCACAAATCACAAAGACAAAAATAATAGGAAAAGATGTGACAGCAACACCATTTGGGAAGTTAGGTAGCAGGACAGGTGTAATGACTCAGAAAGATGAATTTTAGTCAGCGGCAGGGAAAGCCAATATTCAACCTGCTGAGTGCTTGAGGGCTTCCCTCAGCCTGGAGGGCTCCTCTGAAGCCCAGGCACTCGGGGTGCTGAGCGGTTCTGGAAGTGTGGCAAAGATGACATTGTCAAGAGCAGAATAGGTTAAAAGGCTGAAAGAGAAGCAATTATGTTACCCAGGTAGAAAACTAGATATTTTTTCTTAAAGAAGATAAAAGAGGGATTTGAAGTGGGAACATGAAGCAGAGCTGACAATGACGGACTGTACTGAAAACGGGGAGTAAAGGAAGCCAAATTAATACTCTACACAAGAGATTGGAAGAGTCTTCTCTGGGGATTTGAATGATGCAAGGGCCAAAAGACGCTAAGACCACAGGTCCTCAATGAAATAGCTCAGGTAGATTGCTCTACGGTGCAGACCAGTCAACAAAACCTAGAAGGGAATTTTTAGTCAGGTTCTTAACATTCTACTCTTAAATATTTGCAAGCAGCTGAGAAAAACCTCTAACATGAGAGACAATATCAAAACAAAACAAAAAATAAAGCAAATTATAAGAAACAAACTATGCAGAATGATGAAAATTTCAAAAAGATGATCATTAATTAATATCTTCAGAGAGATAAAAATATAATGCTATTAAAAAGTAGAAAACAAAAGAGTTCTTAGAAATTAAAATTATGACAGCAGAAGTCAAAAACTAAATAAAAGCCTAGAAAATAAAGTAGAGACACTGGCAAAGTACAACAAAAGTAAAAAAAAAAAAATCTTTTTAAATAGAGAAGAAAAGAAAACTAGAGGATAAGTGTGTGAGAGAGGGCCAACATCTGAGTAATGAAAGTTCCAGAAAAAGAAATCAGAAAAAAAACAGAGGGGAAAGAATTATCAAAATAAATAAGTAAAATAATACAAGAAAATATTCCCAAACAGAAGGATCAAAAGGGGCCATCAGAATAACCTAAAGAATAAGAATAACATAGAATAACATTATTGTGACATTTCACTACACCGAAGACTAAAAAAAGATCCTAAAAGCTTCTCAGTGAAAAAAGAGGCCACATAACAAGAGATCAGGAATCAAAACAGCACCAGACTTCTCAGCAGCAATACTGGAAACCAGAAGACAATGTTGTCATTCCTTCAAAATTCTGAATGATCTATGGAGCTTCTGGACAAGATGGCAGTGTAGGTAAATGTGGTACTCACATCCTCCCACAACCAAATCAAAATTACAACTAAACTACAGAGCCATCATTCAGAACTGCCTGAAATATAGCCAAACAAAATTCTACAACTAAGGATACAAAGAAGAAGCCACACTGAGGCTGGTAGGAGGGGCGGAATGTGGAATGGGCTGGTCACACACCCATGTGTGATGGATAAAAATGGGGAAGGATATCTTGGCTGGTGAGGTTCCCGCTGAGGAGCCAGAGGTCCCAGCCCCACACCAGCCCCCTCCAGCCCAGGGTTCCAGTGCCAGGTAGAGAAGTCCCCATAACTGCTGGCTGTAAAAACCAGCAGGAAGTGAGGCTGAGTGAGAGGGAGTGGTGCTAGAGTACGAGTAGTGTCTCTTTTTTAAAATTTTTCTTTCTTTATTGATGGATTTTTAGAGTGAGAGAAGGAAAGGAAGGGAGGAAGGGAGGGAGGGAGGGAGAAACATTGATTTCTTGTTCCACTATTTATGCATTCATTGGTTGATCTTATATGTGCCCTGACCGGTGATCAAACCTACAACCTTGGGGGATGATGCTCTAACCAACTGAACTACCCAGCCAGGGCCCTAGGAATTCCTCTTAAAGGGCCCACACACAGACTTACTTGAACTCACTCTCTCTGAGCTTCCTCACTGGGGCAGCAGCTTGAAAGGGACTTACAGGGAGGGACTGAAGTGTCTGGCATCAGGGTGAGAGCTGGAGGGGCAGCTTTCTCCCAGACAGAAGTGCTGGCAGAGGCCACTGTTCCTTTTCGGAACCCTTCCCCCACAGTCCTGGCAGGTGGCACCATATCTGAGACTCCATCAACCTGGCCATCACTGTCCTGCCCTGGTGATTCCCTGAAACCCTGCCACCACCCAACTTGTGGGCCCACCCAAGTTGTTTCCAGTGGTTTTCCCCCCACACAAATAGATTGTTGCGGCTCATGCTTCAGACTTTCCTAAAATCTCTCAAATAAGCAGCATCTGGTCTCAGTGTGCCCTGTACCTCTCATGAAGTGGCAGCCCACCTTGGTTTGCAGCTTGGCCCCTCCTGGGCACCTCCAAGCCCAACACAAGTAACAGCCACCTGCAGATTGCTTTGTAGCTCATGCTCAGTGACTCTGGGCAGAACACAGGTGGTAGCTGACCCTGGCTTGTATCTCCTGGGAGGCCCCAGAGCCAGCACACCCAGTGGACAGCTTCGGACTGAGTCCAAGTGTCACCATCCAACCACCTCCATAAGTGGCACACTCAAGAGGTGGACTCAGTGGGCAGCAGAGTCCTGCTGAAGTAAATCCTGCTCTGTGGGGTGAGCCCCTGCACAGTTGATCCTCCATAGTGGTTGATGGTCACAACCAGTCTTTGCAGCCAATTGACCTGGGGATAAATCCCTCCAATTGATTGCCAACAGCAATCAAGGCTGAACTACAACAGGAGGGTTTAAATAGCCCACAGATAGGGGTGCTCACCTGGAGTACCCAGCTTGGGCAAACGGGGAGGTTGTGCCACTGGATCCTACAGGCACCTACTACATTAGGCCACTCTGCCACCCAGAGATGTCGTAACTCTACCTAACACATAGAAACAAACACAGGAAGGCTGCCAAAATGAGGAGACATGTCCCAAATGAAAGAACAGAACAAAACGCCAGAAAAAGAACTAAATGAAATGGAGACAAACAATCTACAAGATGTAAAGTTCAAAACACTGATTATAAGGATGCTCAATGAACTGAGGGGAAGAGTAGAAGAACTTAGTGAGAACTTCATCAAAGATATAGGAAAGAAAACAAAACAAAAAGATATAGAAAACTAAGAATAGAGATAGAAAACATAAAAATAAACCAGTCAGAAATGAAAAGTACAATAACTGAAATGTAGAATACATTACAGGGAGTCAGTAGAGTAGATGAAGCAAAGGACCAAATAAACGATTTCGAAGTAGAAAACATTCAATCAGAACAGCAAACAATAAAAATAAAATAAAATAAATGAGCATAGTGTAAGGAGCCTCTGGGACAATTTCAAGTGTACCAACTTTCTCATCATGGGGATGCTGGACAGAAAAGAGAGGAAACAAGAAATTGAAAACCTATTTGAAAAACAAGAAATTGAAAACCTATTTGTAAAACTTCCCTAACCTGGTGAAGGAAATAGATATACAAGTCCAAGAAGCACAGAGTCCCAAACAAGATGAAACCAGAAAGTTTCACACCAAGACACATCATAATTAAAATGCAAAAGGTTAATGACAAAGAGAGAATCTTAAAAGTAGTAAGAGAAAAGCAGCTAGTTATCTACAAGGGAACTCTCATTAAGACTGTCAGATAATTTCTCAACAGAAACTTTGCAGGCCAGAAGGGATTGGCAAGAAATATTCAAAGTGATGAACAGCAAGGACATAACCAAGGCTACTTTACTCAACAAGACTCTAATTTAAAATTGGAGGAGAAATAAAGAGCTTCCCAGACAAGAAAAGCTGAAGGAGTTCATCACCATCAAACTAGTATTACATCAAATGTTATAAAGGGCCTTCTATAAGAACAAAAAAAGATAAAAATATGAACAATAAAATGTTAATAAATACATATCTATGAACAACTGAATCTAAAAAATAAAATAAATGAACAAGCAGACCAGTAACAGACTCATAGATACAGAGAACATTTTGACAGTTGCCAGATGGGAGGGGGGCTGTGAGGATGGGTGAAAAACGTGAAAGGATTAACCAGTACAAATTGGTAGTTACAGAATAGTCATAGGGATGTAAAGTACAGTATAATATTGTAATACCTATATGGTGTCAGATGGGTAGAAATTTATCAAGATGATCACTTAGTAAGTTATATAATGTCTAATCACTGGGGTACACACCTGAAACTAATATATTATATATCAACTGTAATTGAAAAATAAAAAAAATGACTTAGAATTTTTAAAAATTCCAAATGAATTCAGAACTAAAATTTTATGCCTAACCAAATTTAGGTTTGGTTTGAATGAAGATGTTTTTAAGAAATGCCGGGTCTAAACAATGGATCTCCCACATCTGCCTTTGTCAAGAAGCTACTTCAAGGGGGTGGGTAGTAAGGTTGTTCCCCTAGACAAAGGAGGAAACCAAGGAAAAGATAAAGGAGCCAGGAAACAGGAGAATGAGAGGGAATCCCTGGACAATGGTGGTATCCCCAGGATGTCAGCCATGCAGTGAATAACTAG